AGAAATTATTATTTTTTACTCCCTCCAAATCTAAATATAAGAGTTAGTTGACTAATTTGAGAAAATTAAAAAAAATAAGTTAACTTAGTTATTTCTAATAAATAAGTGTTGTCTTTCATAAAATATCCTTATTAATTAAGTGTATTAGTTAAAACTATTACTATTAGAAGAATTATCTAAAGAAAAAATACAATAAATATGATGGACAAAGTGGATTTGGATATCATATTTAAGATCAAAATAAAAGTCAAATAGAATCTTATATTAAGGACCTAGGTAGTATTTTGAAACTTATCATTATAAGTTGCTTTAGTAAGATTTTTTTAATAATTTTTTAAGAATTTTATTGCAATAGCTCTCTCTCTCTCTCTCTCTGTTTTTTTTTTGTTTTGAGTTTATGGATAATGGATTTGAAGTTTAGGCGATTGGGGCATGGGGGGGTTTGACCCAAAGCATACAACCAAAGAGAAAAACACTAAAAAAATTTAGAGCCCATTAGTAACTTCTCTTTTAAGAAAAAGTCCCCCGACAAGTTGGGCCCCATTCTTTACGTTAGGGATTAGTATCAATGCATGTTTTTAACAAGATATAATGGTCCCAATGGGGTTGGGTTTAGTAGAAGAGACTAATCTCTCATAACGTGACTAACTAAGGTTTAAATTTTCACTGAGAGAGATGTCCATATTTAGTGCCCGACAGTACCTCGAATAGGATTGCCATACCTATGCTTTACAACAAAAAAAAAGAAAAAAGATATAAAGGTGATTGGTTGTGAATTATAAGTAATTAATATATATATATATATAAAGTAGTTACTCCCAAATCTGCCCCTCTAATCTTATTTATAAAATAGTTAGAAAATATTTTTTATCCTCTTTGAGTCATCTCATTATGTAAAAAATTTAATGAAATAGTTTTTACCAAAAACATTTTTAATGAGGAAAATGGTCTAATTTGGTCGCCACCATGAAGGAGGAAGGGGGGTTTTTTTTTTTAAAAAAAATTCTTTTGAAAAGAATCAACACTGTGGTTTCAACAAATGAGACCAGGAAAGAATTAGAAGGAAAAAGCGATTATAAACATCAAAATCTAGTCAAAGTATTAAAATTGTGTATATAAATATAAAATGTATAAATTTACATATCACTAAATACTACTAAATCAAATGTAGAAAACCTTAAAGGTAAGTACAAACTATAGACAATAGTCTTATGGTCTAGTAATATGAAAAGGAGAAATCACAAATGGATCTTTCTAGTAATATTAAGCCACTAATATATATGCTCTTCTAAAAGTAGAAACAAAATAAGATAAATAAATTCAAATAATTACCATAACTGGAACCTTTTATTTGGAAATCAACTTGATCTAAGACTTCCGAATTTCAAACTTACAACTCGTGAAAAATCCAACCTCATAATAGGTGAGTGATGATTTTCTATGCACTCCAAATCAATTGTCACTTCCGAAAGGAGGGGTGATTTCAGACATTCCCCAAAAAAGGAAAAATCCTTAGCTCCCCAGGAAACCTGGTGAACTTTGAGACATAAGAATGCCGCTTCCAAATTATGACCTTGCTCGTGCGCTACAAGTTGATAATGGAATGAAAAGAACTCAGGACTGCTTTGCTTGCCTACAAATGGAAATGGCATAGGAAGGCTTAACATTCTTCAATATTAGCCTTCGAACTTATAACCAGCACGTTCGACCTGAGTTGAACAACATACAAAATAGCACTGCAGTTGATCTCATTTCAACCAGCGAAATTCCATTTTGGCATTTGTAACTCTTGTTTTAAAAATATCATAAACCACATAACAAGAACGGTGAGCTGTTAAGGTAAAATATGGCACATTGCCTGTCAGTGTTTCAGCCTTCAGTTATCTAGGAAACCATCCATTGAAAGGGGTATGGCAGATCATCAATGATATTGAAATCAACTGTTGAAATTTTTCAGAGAATGAATGACTTGATATAAATATTCCAAGTCCACATCACGTGCTTTTCTCTCCCGGCTATTTTCCAAGTCCACATGCATTGCTTAATTTATATAATATTATTATTAATGTTAATAATATTCATATAATTATTGCTGTCACAAAAAATAAATATTCCAAGCCATAGAATGGCAATACCCATTTTTATGCATTGAGAACGGTGTATTAAACAATAATAACGGAAATTTCATGTTCCAAAATGGAGTAAAATAATATTTACATTCAAATTGAAACAGGGGAATAAAGTACCGAGTCTCTCAACTTGGAAATTTAGGAAGGAGGGGCAGGGTGACCAACATTCAACTGCTTTCTAGTTACAAGAAGCTTCTTCATATGACTGCTTAGAAATTTACCATTGCAAAAATTGATGAACTGGATAAATCAATATTTATTCTTTCAGATTACATCATAAATTCACGTAGAGGGTTTGTAAAAATTCAATCATTCCAAGGCACGGATTGTTTTATTTTTATTGATACTCGTGCTAATTTATTTAACAGAAGTAGGATGCTTTTCGTTTATAACTTCATCATATTTATCATGCAGGAAATTCTATACATGATATGGTCTTGCAGCTGAAAAATTGATGAGTGGAGGAAAAGACAGGGAAAAGAGAAGGGATGAGAATTTGCGTCAGAGAACTAAGACCAAACTATAAGAGGGTGGTGTTGATGTGATAAAAGCAAGGTGATTGAGAAAAACAGAGGACAAGCTTTCCAAACTAGAAAAAACGATGATGAACGGCATTGGAAGAGAGAGAGAGAGAGAGAGGAGAGAGAGAAGCTTTTTTGTCTAGAAACACAGATAAGGAATGAAGAATCAATATGGCAAAGCTAATCTTAGAGATGAAGAGTAGAGAGGGGAGCAGGGGATTAGCGGTGGATGGCGAATTTGAACGAAAACTCTTCGATGAACAGTGGTGACCGGATTCTAGCTGATGAGTTAGGATATGTTTTTGTTTTCTCTCTCTTGAAAAATAAGATACCCAGGCCACAACTCCTTGGAACATTTTCTCCGCATCATGCTGCCTAGTCAGCCCACCATGTAAGCAAACATAACGGAGTTAGTGCCACATGTCAAATTAACGCTGTTAATTGCTGTTCTAAGTCCTTTTCAAACTCCAGAGATCAAAACCACGGGTTTCAAATTTTAGAGACCAAAACCAAAATAAAACTAGACTAGAGGGACTAAATGTTGTATTAACCCCAAGATTATATTCATTTTGGCGAAAACACAGATCCAAGCAAACCAATTGTTTTGGGGAGAAAAAAAATCATCTGAGCTATTCCATTCGATATGAAAAGAGTTTGATTCAGTTTAACTCAAGTTAAATTGAGACAAACTAAGAATTGAACCAAATCAATGGATTTTTACAGTATAAAAATGGAGCCAAAATCTTTTTCTTGGGTCGTAAATAAGCGCTTTAAATTTCCTTCTTTTTTTTGGGTAAAAAACCAAATTAAATGCTTTTACATTTTACAATAACAATCAACAAGGAAACAAAAACAATAGCCACAAAACTTGTAGCTCAATTCTAATCCTCATAATCACAATATTTGGACCCATTAGTATATGTTGACGATTCTTCAAATTCTTAACCGTTACTGGCGGGGAAAGTTTTGAAATCTTGATAGGATTCCAGACTAAGAGATCATCTTCATACGAATCTTGCTTCTCATAAAACTTTATTTGAGTTTTATTTTGATCCCAAATATAAGATCCTAACCCACTTTATCTTTTATATTTATGTTTTTTTTTCTAAGATAGTCCTTCTAATAATAGTAATTCTAGCCAATACATTTGATTAGTAATAATATTTTAGAAAAGATAACGTCTATTTATTACAAACAACTAATTTAACTAATTTTTTTAATCTCCTCAATTAGCTCTTATAATTAGGACTTGAGGTAGTATTTATCCAAATTGGCTGACATATTCCTTTGTATTCTGGCCTCCTCTGCAAGTCTTTTTTATCTACAACCCCTTTTCACGGAGCAATCAGCATCCTTCATCCATTAAAATTTCCTGCCCGGATGAGAATATCTTCTTTTCTAAAGCGACGAGGTAATTGGGATAAGAGAAAGATGCACTTAGTAAACTGGCCGAATTATTTGCGCAGTCGGGATAATTGAGGATTACTGATTCAAAGCACAAGAGAATTTTTTTCCATAACTCTTTCAACTCTGCCTTCTTCTTCTTCTTCTTCTTTTTTTGGCTGGCTTGAATTAATGGAAGGTTGAAACCTACTAAATCAACATTTCTCTTGCTATTCATCAAATATAGAAACTGGTCGGGCCACTAATTGAAGGGGCGTAGATTTTTTCTGTCAATTAAAATTAGTGGGCTTCCTGAGGGTCGCGAGTCGAGTTAAAATGTTATCATAATTAATCTAAAATTTGTTTTGGTAGCTGGAGATAGATGAGGAAACTGGTCTAACTTGGTCGCCACCATTGAACGAGCAAAGGTCCTTTTCGTTTCTTTCAAGTCCTTTCTTTAAAAACAACCAACGTTGCATTTTTCAAAAATGGGAGATGAAATGGAAACAATTAGAAGGGAAAAGTATCAATGAGATTCTAAATATCAAAATCTAATTAAATTATTAAATTTTTGTGTATATAAAATTATAATGTATAAATTTACATAGTACATTCTTGACACCAAATAATTATTAATTAATGACTACTAAATCAAATATAGAAAACTTTAAAGGGAAGCACAGATTGTAGACAACAACCTTACGGAGTAGTGTTATGAAAATTTCTATACGGGCAACTTCCTATAATTGCTTAAAAAAATGCTTTGCACAAAGTTCTTCTTACATATTTATTTTGTATACTAAAAAATTACATATTTATTTCATATACTAGAAAATCACTTGTAAAAAGTTAATTCAAAATATGAAAATCATAGAATCGGTTTTGCTTGTATTATTAAGAGGCTAATATCTGCCTTTCTAACGGTAAAAACAAAACAAGAGAAGTAAGTTGAAATAGTTACCCGAACTAGAACATTTCATTGGGAGATCAACTTGATTTGAGACAACTGAATTTCAAACTCTCGACTCATGAAAAATCCAGCCTCATAGTAGGTGAATGATGATTTTTCCAGGAAAGAGCAAGTAGAAACTTGCTTATGCACTACAAATTAATTGTCACTTCAGAAAGGAGGGTTGATTTCAGACATTCTTCCAAAAATCCTTAGATGCACAGAAAACCTGGTAACCTTTGAGGCATAAGAACGCTGCTTCTAAATTATGACCTTGCTTGTGCACTACAGGTTGACAATGGAATGACAAAAAGTCAGGACTGCTTTACTTGCCTGCCAATGGAAATGTCAAAGGAAAGTTTGAGATTCTTCAATATTAGCCTTCGAATTTTTTACTGTTTTACATAAGAATGACCATTGTCGCTTACAACATGGTATACCATCCCCGTATGCACACATTTTACAAAAAAAAGTCGTTAACCTCGGATCTCATGATTCCTTCACCATAATAACCAGCAGCCAACCAATGCGGGACCTTATAACCTTATAATCACTATGCACATTCAACCTGAGTTGAACAACATACAAAATAGCACTGCCGTTGATCTCACTTCACTCAGCAAAATTGCACTTCGGCATTTGTATAGCAATTCTACAAGTTTCAGCACTATTTTTTTAGTCACAAACACTTCTTTCAGAAGTGTCAGAAACCACATAGCAAAGGAGAACTTTGAGCTCGTAATGTAAAATATAGGATGCTGCCTGTCAGTGCTTTAGCCTTCGGTTATCTAGGAAACAAAAAGGGGCGTGGTAGATCACCGCTGATAATGAAATCAACTCTTGAAAATTTTCAGAGAAGGAATGACCTGATATAAAACCAACAGATGAATGAAAACCGGCTCCCTTAATTTTTAGACCAGCAGTTACCATGCACGAAACTCTCTAGGAGCAGTTGCACTCTAGAGGAGCTCAATCCTGGTTACCTACCATCCTAGTAAAACAATGAGTTTGAATAACTTAATCAAGATCGCATCTTAAGAACTTTTTGGCATGTACAATGGCAGCAGAACGGGTTAAGCTAAGATCCCAAACATCTGTTCACCTGCAAAGCATACTTCTTCCAACAATGTTTGTCTACGACCTAGTTTCAAAAGGAGAAGAAAGAAGGTCTAGTTACTGGAACTTTACATAACAAGAAAGCTTAGCTTGTATACTGTAGGCACCAAACTACCAGAGCTCTAATAAGGAAAGATTCTGGTCATTCAATAATACTTCAGAGAGCAATCGGTGAGTAGTACTACGAAGACAAACCCTGTCATCCCTCCCTGCCAATGATATGCTCATGTTTTAAAGCTTAGCATATTGATTCACAGTTCCAAATAGTGGTGTGCTAAACTAGAATGGTAGACAAAGTCATTTGTATTATGCTAAAATAGAGTAGCATTTTAAGCAATTAATAGACCAGATCTGGTTCCATAAAAAATTGTCTCCTTCACAAGCTTTACGTTTGCTATCTGGGTCTAATACAATCGTCTTCCTTCCTTTATTCGAGTTTGGAGCTGGCTATGAAATATTGGCAGAGATATAAAACAAATATCATCGGGGACAAAGTATCTTGTAAGTATAAAATCATCGGTGACACGCTGATAGAATTCGAAGCCATACCTAAAATCGCAGTTTCCAGGGAGGAAAAGTCTCTGGCATAATGCAAAAGGGTCTGTTGTAAAGTAGGCTGACCACGCTCAACTAAATAAAGCCGGTTTGAGACCAAATTCTCATATCCATGACAATTCCTTGATCACAAAACTGAAATCGCGGCAGAAGAACAAGAACTCTCCCATACTTCAATACCTTCAACCTCTTCTCTGCTAATAAACAACCTGTTCCCACCACCATCGATCTGCTTAATAATCCCCCTCTCTGAATCCTCTATTTTGTCCACGAAATTTCTTCTATACAAACCCTCAGCATCTCCACCAGCTATTTCTGCACCATTTTTCATCCCTTCGAGCCTGGACCAAACCTCTAAATCACCCTCTCTCCCGACAAACACCTGCTTCCTGTAACAATGAATCACACTGCTGCTAACTCTCCCGGTGTTCACCAAGCTTGGGTTCTTTTCTTGCAAATAAATCCACGGATCCTCTTTTAAATGCCGCATGTCCGCCATTGCCAAATCCCCGGATTGAGAGCAGAGCTTGAACAAAGCCAAGCCTTCCACGTCGACGTCCACGCACGCAAACGAATCCCCAAACCTACTGCTTCTACCTGCACCCGGCTCATTCGTCTCCCACACCACCTCGCCGGAACGAGGGTCCCACAATCTGATGTAGCCAGAGTATCCAAAAGCCCCGCTCGTAACTGCACTTCCAACAAGCACGCCGTTCTGGGGTACCCACGTCAGCTTCCCAGGAACCGTATGCTTAGCCTGATTACCGGATTGTCTAGCGAGCTGAGACACGATCTGAAGCGTTGTTTTATCTATTTCAAGGACACAATTCTCTCTATGCGGGCAATCAAACGCCGCAAAAATGGAACTCTCTGAGCCAGCTATTGCGTTCACTCGGGCCTTGAAGATACGGGGATCAGAAGGATCAGTCCACTGAACCGTCCCGATGTTGCGCCCATCGGAGAAATCGTAGAAGTGCAGTCCCGCGTTGGATTCTGACCCTATAGCCGCAATTTCGGGCCAGACACGGCAAATCGAATCAATTTCGTCTAGATGGGTTCGAATGGTGCATGAGTGGCTGAGATTCCAGTCGTAGCAAGAAATCTGACCACCGTGGGCTATCCAAATGGATCCATCGACCTCGGCGGCGGTGAAAGTGGGAGACAAGCCTTCAGACGCCGGTCGAATTGTTGCGGTGCTAGAGGCGTCGATCCCATCCAATGGTGACGGCGCCATGGCCGACCTGAGTTGGGCGTCGATGCCGTAGTAAATTGCTTCATCGGCGAGCTCTTGCTTGGAGAAACGACGAGCGGTGGAGGGGAGCTGCTTGGTTCGGAGGAGGGACAGGAGGACGGAGAAGATCTCGGGGTCGCGGTCAATGAAAACAGGGTGGTTATCGCCGGTGTCACGGAGGGAGAGAGCCGTGAGTAGGGAATCCGAACCACCGGAACGAAGGGTGGCAAGCGTCGTCTCGAAGAGCGTCCCGCCGACGTTGAGCTTGATACGGTCGTCCGGAGAGGTCACATAACTGGAGGCAGTAGTTGCCACATCCATTGAGAGAGCACCACGAAGATAGTCCAAAGCTTTTGACCAGCTTGGAAAATGGAAATCTGGGAAATAATGGTCTCTGAATTAACATCCCCGAATCGAAACGATGCGTTCCACTGGTTGGTTCACCAATTACGGTGGGACAACGTTGGACTTTTTCCGAAACGTTCCCAACGATGTAACAGAGTTGGAATCTTTGGCTTCGTCTCCTTCATCGTTTTCCCTCAGATCTGCTTTTCTCATCCACCCTCTATTTTCAATCTCAGCTGCAAGAGTATATCATATATCATATAGAAGAATTTGTTATAGCAAATATGATTAAGCTACACAGAGAGAGCATCCTACTTCTGCTAATAAACCAAGTAAATTTTCCCGGCAGTCAATACAATTAGCACAATCTGTTTTAAACCCTTTCTTTTTCCTAGAATTTTAGAGTCTTCTCGCTATCCAGTCCTGCAAAAATGAATTTATGACGTAACCTGAGACTTAAGGCATGAAAGAGTAAATACTCATTTATTTATTTAGTTCATCGACATTTGTAGTTGTAAATCTATAAGCAGTGATATGAATAAGCTTCTCGTAACTGGAAAGTAGAGGAACGTTGATCAGCCCTTGCAAAATTACGAAGTTGGAGTAAGTTTCTGGTTCTTCATTTAAAGATGAAGATGAGGCTCTGAGCTGTGTCTAGCCTTACCTCTTGTGGTGTGGGTATGAGCTAATCTGAAACGGGCTGAGGTTTTCTTACTAATAACCTATAAATAATACAGAAAAATTCTCCACACACCATATTGTGGGAATTATATTCCTAGATGGTATAGTCAAAATTGTTCAAGATTAGAACAAGTTTTAAAATTCATCAAACTAAGAACAACATTTTCAATAAGTTTCTTGCACTTGAACTTTATCTTAAACAACTTGTTTACAATCTCTCACCTCACACATATCCCCTACAATGATTTTAATAATAATTGGATTGGATTATCATTTGAATAATGAATTATTAGTAAATAATAGATGGGTGTTAATTATTATATAATAATAATGGTAATGATTAAAACTCCATTCAATCCTAAATATAAGACTCATTTGCTGTGTAATTAAAAGACCCATTTTGTTGTGTAAATTACACAAAATGGGTCTTATATTTAGAACAAGAAGAGTACTATATTAATAAAAAGTTATTAATGAAAATAAGTAATGTTTAGGTTTTAAAAATTTAATAACAATCATGATTAATTTGACATGAACAAAAATAAAAATTGATCTACCTTACAAATAATGACTCGTGGTACCACATCTTAAACTCCTTTGCATACATTGTAGTTGTTGTTGCATATTCACTTCTTATTAAGTTTGATCAAATATCTCATTTTTGTCTGCATAGTTAGCATATTTAAATTAATTCAAGGTTATTCAACTAAAGAAATTAATTGTCGGTAATGCTTCATTTGATAGGCCATCTTATTTAGAAATAAGTGTCATATTCATCTGTAAATAATAAAATTATCAAATAAGGACATAAATAACTAGAATTGAGGAGGATTGGGAGAGTCCTGGTGGTATAGTGTGAATGATCTTTATACCTTTTTCACTAAAATAAAAAACTAAGCAATCATTCAAATGCGTACAATATTTGTTGGAATCAATATATTAAATGGATTGAGTTAAAAACTAGAGACGTTATCTAACAAAGAGCTTATTTACAAATAAGTATTGTAATTAAATATTATAATAAATCTGATCAATGAAATATATACTAATATTCAGAAAATTTTAAATATAAAATTCAATCTATACAATGTTTACAAGGCAACATATAAATAATTATTAATTTTTTTATTCATGTCAGATATCACATAATGCGTATTAAGCTAATATGATAATTATTAATCTAATGAATTACTATACTATAAATTCTTAAGTTTTTTGACAGCGGAGGGGTCTAAATTGTGCTCCTCAAGAAAGCTAATGACTTCTCTGAAACTCTCTACTGTAGGGAGGTAGTATGCGCTATCAAGCCAAATAACCTGAAATGTTTTAATGCAACAACACTTACAAGTGGAAGTACCAGAAAGTTAGAAAAAGTAATAGAATGAAAGCGATTATGCTGTGTGATATATATTATTAGTACCTTAAGAACACCCTCATGAGCCGCTAATCTCCCTGCTACTGCGGGCACTGCTCCAGCCAGGAAGCTAGAGTGATGAAACAAACCCATCTGCCTTCGCCCCACATACAAAGACCTCGTGGGGCTCAGAACAAATATCCATATGGACCTATCTCTAGTATCGAGAACCTTACCATCTTGTCCATACACTAGCTTGCCCCCTTCAACAATAACTTCATATTCTTCCCTTTCTTTCTGCATTGGTACCACAATCAATCAGCTATATGAGATATAGCAGCAGCAGTTTTTAGATAGACTCAGGCCAAATAAAAAGTGAATCTTCATAGCTAAGTCTGTTGGGTATGAATCTATATCTAATTAAAACGTATGTTTAACATATATATATTAGTGAGAACTTACCGGTCCAAGATATTTAACGCATTGGTGTTGAAGTTTGCTCCTTGGACATCTCTCAAGATTCACTTCTTTGCCTTCTCCTACATCCAACCTAAATGTAATAAAAGCAGGAAGTTAGCCATCCAAATCCTTATTAGTTCCTCATCTACCATGTTTCATGGTAATTACAATGAAGAGATTAAGGTTTAAAACGAGTGTTTACCAGTAGAAAAATGGTTGGCTGCTTTGGCTTCTATGCCAGACATTATAATAGAGCAATATATTGTGACCATATCGATGACATGGGTCAACCTGTGCAAGAAACAAAAAGAAAGTAACATTGTCAACACTTAATATGGATCAAATCTGTTGTTCAAAAGCTTCAAGATCATAAGAGGGTACTCTTCTTGGCTAACGTATTGGAATAATGGATAAGAACAAAGAAGGCTTCAAGGCCTTACAGCTTCAAGCCAATGTCGCCGGGCTAGTCTTTGCGCCTTCTCATTCTTGTACAAACCTTTGCCAACCTGAGTGAAAATTCAGTTAGAAGCTAGAACAAAAAAAAAATAATAATAAAGAAATTATTAGTTAAACTCCCCAGCAATATCCAGATTCTTTGTAATTATAAAGTAATTGGTGTGTATTCAGAGAGAGGTAAAGAAGAAAAGTTGCTTTTGTGCTTGCCCCTCCCCGCCGTGATAATTGGCTTTGCCCCGAAACTTCTCCCACCCCTGAGGAATCTTGCCGCTGCAAAAATGAAAATACACAATGATGTAACACATGTTAGTTCAAGTAACAGGTTTAGTTGCTTGAATATTTTGCTGCAAAAGTCTGTTAAGACCTCATTGGCATCTGAAGGACCAACATCAACGTGAAGATGGTCACTTGGACTGATGGGACCGACCTCCTGTACTACGGATTCTGAGTAGTGGCGAAGAATCACGATGAGGGAGCAGAAAACTAATGCAATAGGTAAGAGGATCCACTTGATTTTGAATAGTTGTGTGGCAAACAATGTCAGGAAAAAGGTGGAAAAGCCAGTTTCGAATCCAAGCTCAAACTTCCTTGACATGGACAGCGACATCAAGGCAAATGAACCATACGAGATAATGCTCAAAGCATCTGATTTTGCAGGAAGAAGTTTTTCATTCACCGCGGAGATCAAACAGATCACATCAAATATTAGAGCTGCCACAGGGCCTTGGAATTTCTCTGAAACTCGAATTCTCTTGCCCCACAAGATGAGGCTCCATGTGATTACCCCGACGAATAGATAAAGAAGGAGACCGCCAATACCAAGCTTTGCAAATGAGATTTTGTAGGTGGAGCTGAAACCAAAGCAAACCAGGCCGGCTATGCCTGACACACTTCCCACAAATTTCCAAATCATGGCCCGATGGCATACAAGATCTCTCATCCTATTCATAATTTATTTAACAAAAAAATGAGACCCTCATTATTTGATTTCTTAATTTTAATATATAAATTTGATGAAATTTCAGTTATAGAAATAAACCAATACTACAACTGTGCAAAATAAGATGATAAAAATTTCATAAAGTGAATGAAATTCTATAAATTAAAATTAATAATATGAAAATGGTTTTTAACCCGAGGACTGATGCCTATAATAAATCAAAGGATTGAATTCAAACAAAATAAATTAAAAAGATCTGCTTCAAAGTTAGAGCAAATTAATCACTCGCGTTTAAACACTTGTGTAGGCACCACAAAAGCTTAACAGAGACTCAAAAAATGGGGAAGAGATCAGAAGTGTTTAATTTGTCAGGAATTTCGAAATCTTAGTATGGCAGAGATTGTACTAAGATTTTTGTTACAGACCAAACAAATAAATCATCAAAGAGAACTACTACTAACCTTAATCAAACGCCCCCTCCCACGCCACGCTGCCCACTCCTAGAGAATCGTCTTGACAACAAGAGGAGCGTAACTCGGCATGAGGGCCTCAGAATTGACGCGGAGAGATACCGAGTAAGGAATGGTAATTGGTAAAGGTATCGACTTGTTGACCCTGGTGGCAGAAGCCCAAAAGTACAACCTTGACTTGGTCTTTGGCTCTTTGCTTTGTCAATAAAATATGTAAAATCACTATTACATTTATCATTCTGAGGTATCATAAGCATACTTGCGATTGAAAGGTAAAACAAAACAAACCAAGCCAAACCCAAAGGGCTCAACTACCCCTCTCAAAGGCCACAACCAGACAATCCACTAATTTCTTCACATTGTCTTGTTTGTTGGCTTGTAATGGTAGATTAGATAGCACGAGTAATAAACACAATTAGAGGTAGAGGCTCATGTGTGCCGATCCTGAAGAAAGAGAACCAATGCGTAGAAAGCATACGTCTCAGTTTAGGTCTTATTGTGTTTGGGTTCTTTTTGGTAGTTCATGGATGATTAAGGTTTGGCCCAAAGCATTCAAGAAAAGAGAAAATCAATCAAAGTTTTTGAGCCTACTTGTAATTGTTAAAAAACTAATCATCATCAACAAGTTAGGCCACATTACAGTGTCTCAGATATGATTGTTTTAATAAAAGTATATTATATCTAGTGAAAAAAAAATAGTCTGCAACTAGTGTTACAATTGAGGTCCTTCTTTTTTGTACTCAGTCCAACTGGACATAGTTAACTGCTCACTCTGTAGAAGTCTAAAACTACCCTTGTAAAATCCTCAAGACCATGAAGGCTGTAGAAGATTTCGGGACTGATAAATCCAACATGCAATGGATAGAGAATATACAAGGGAAAATTGAGAATAAAGCATTCATTAGAAATTTAATTGGCAAACAATCTCTAGGGTAATATGTTGCACAAGGGAAGATAAGTTGCACATAAGAGAAATCAATTTGCACAAAGGGGAGATGATTTGCACAAAATATTATTTGGATAAGGACTAATTTACATATAGGGAAGATGATGACCTGCACACCAAAACAAGTTCAATTACACAAAAAGGAGTTTAATTGCACAAGAAATGATGATTGCACATAAAAAAAGATGGATTACACGTAAGAAAAAAAAATTAAGTTGCGCATAATGAAAGTTGAGTTATACAAAGTTCATAAGGACCATTTGCCGATTAATTTCTCAAATTTATCCCCAATTTTCCAAATATACAATTGGCATTAATTTATATCACAAGAACAAAATAAAAGCCCAATCATATAGATTATTGATTACTTTATCACAAATATGAGCATGTTTATTGGCTTATTGCAATACGTATTTACACTCATACATATTCTAAACATTTAGAACCCAATCGGGAACCTACTAAATTCATAATACAAAAGAATATCCAATCTTCCACATAATTACATACTTCTCTTGTCCCTATCTGCTATGACTTAATTTCAAGCTTTCGCGTCCTATTATTCTTTTCCGTCTCCTTCTTTAATGGAATCCTCCCATCTGTTCCAGCTAGCATGCTGTACTTATCTTTCCTCGTCAGATTCGTACACTCAAACCTAAGCGTCCCCGCAAGAACTGTCTGAATGTAATTCGCAACTTCAAAACTGGACTTCCCTCCCTTACATGTGAGCTCAACCGGAAGCTGGTCCAGAAAAGTGATCTCAAATGTAGGCATAGGGTTCATTAACACAAAGTAAGGGTCCAAAATCTTATGTCCACGAACTGTGGTCCCATTAAACACAGTCTGCTTCGTGTTAATGGCCACAGGAACAATCCTCTCGGTTAATTCAGCAAAAAGAGCACTGAACCTTAAGAGAAATGGTTCTCTGCAAGTGGTTCCTTCAGGAAAAATCACCACGTCACCTTCCTGAACGAGTTTTTTAATATTCTCTGCATCTTTCTCTCTTTCTCTTGACAAAGCAACGGTTTTATTGGCGATGTTATTTCACTGAACTTGCTGATGCTGTAGGCGACATAGCTGACTTTTCTCTTCTTAGCAACTGTAATAACTACATGATCCACGACCATACCGTACGGTGGTTGCAGACAGAAAGGACACCGCTTTGGCCTGTCTTTGGGGGAGGGGGTGGGGTGCCCTTGACAAGGATTCTGATGCCCAGAAGCTTGGAGTTGTACCCAACGAGTTTTTCTGGTAGTGGGATGTTAAGGTATGCCCTTAAGATGGGGAGTATGGTGCCAATAGGGAGCCATAGGAAGGTCAGAAATGCCATAAGAGGGGTTGGCCTCTGAGCAAAACGACCGTCGTGGAAGATAATGGGACTTAAAAGCTTGTCTCTGGGTAGTGGGAGATGGGAAAAGGGTAGCAGGTGAGTATTGTGCATGAATAGTATGGGAGATCCGTGAGTATAAGAGTAGGAGTGCAGGCTTGACAAATCGAATCAATTCGGTCTACATGAGTCCGAATGGTGCATGAGTGGCTGAGATTCCAGTCGTAGCAAGAAATCTGACCACCGTGGGCTATCCAAATGGATCCATCGACCTCGGGCGGTGGTGAAAGTGGGAGAAAAGCCTTCAGACGCCGGACGAATTGTTGCGGTGATAGAGGCGTCGATCCCATCTAACGGTAGCGGAGCCATGGCCGACCAGAGTTGGGCGCCGATGCCGTAGTAAAGGGCTTCATCGGCAAGTTCTTGCTTGGAGAAACGACGAGCGGCGGAGGGGACCCGATTGGTGCGGAGGGGAGAGAGGAGGACGGAGAAGATCTTGGGGTGGCGGTCAATGAAAACAGGGTGGTCATCGCCGGTGTCACGGAGGGAGAGAGCGGTGAGAAGGGAATCGGGACCACCGGAATGAAGGGTGGCAAGCGTCGCCTCGAAGAGCTTGCCGACATCGAGCTTGATAGGGTCGTCCGGGGGGGCCACATAATCAGAGTCAGAAGTTGCCACATCCATTGAGAGAGCACCACGAAGATAGTCCAAAGCTGTTGACCGCGAGAGGGTGTCAGCAGTCCCTAGATGCTGCCCTTTCATGTTCAGGCTCTTTCCAAATAAACACAAAAATATTTAGACCCAAACGGCAGTTGACGCCCCCCCGATGTTGACCAGCGTGGAAAATGGAAGTTTGGGAAATAATAATGGGAAAATTTCATTTTAAGATTAATATCAGTAAACTTTCAAGGCATTTCAAAATTTCAGTCAACCTTCTTAAATCAAAATAAAATTAAAATTTAAGCGTAAAAATACAATAATACTTCTCTTTTTAGTTTTTTCAAAAAATAAATACTAATTGTTGTCAGAGTTTTAGCTACTGGAAGTCGAAGATCCAGTCACCAAGGTATAATGACAACCATTGGAGCTCTAGTGGTCAGAGGTTTTTTTTTAAAATAAGGTCGTTTAAACCCATGAACTATTAGCACACCAAAAATAGTGTGACCAACAAGCCAATCAAACCACTTAATTATATAATTCAAAGAAATATATATATATATAACAAAACAAATACAAATGTCTAAGTATAAATAAATAAAATTCGACAATTTACAAATAAAATTTAGTGATTGAAAATAAAAAATTCAACAATTTACAAGAAACATAAGGAAATTTACAATCCAAATGTAAATATATAGGTGTATATGAATAAATAAAATTTGAAAATTTACAATAAAAATTAGTGATTTACAAACTCAAATTCAGTAATTTATAAAAAACATAAGGTAATTCACAACCCAAATATAAGTGTTTAAATAGGAATAAACAAATAAAATTCAGCGATTTACAACCCATATTTGACAATTTATAAAAAGACATAAATATTATAAAACTTATAAAAGAATTCACAATTTCAAATATAAGTGTTTATGTTTTTCAATTAAAATGAAATTTTCCGAATAAAAATTTCTGAGTTAACTTCTGAGAATCGCAATGAAACTATGCGTTCCACTCGTTTGTTCACCAATTATCTTGCTTTCGTAGATTGACAATGGGACAACATTGGGCTTTCTCTGAAACATTCCAAACGATGTAACAGAGTAGGAATTTTTGGCTTCGTCTCCTACAATGTTTTCCCTCAGATCTGCCGTCTATTTTCAATCTCAGTTACAGGACAATATCATATAGAAGAATTTGTAGTAGTAAATACTCCATCAGCTCAAAATAGGAGTATATGATAAATTTTGTTAGAAGAGCTTAGTTTTTCTTTTAAAAATAAGATAACATTTATTTTTTGTTTCAGCATTTAATCAATTTTTTTCAATTTTACCACTAGCATATATTGTCTTTCCTTTTGATTCATTTATTATATCTTTTACTTATTCTTTTTATTAATAAAGGCAGATTCATGGACAAAATATATGTCTTATATATTTATTAGTTTAAATTGATTTTAACTAATTTTTTAATAAATGTAAATGATAAAGTTTATCTTATATTTTAAATCTGAAGGAGTATAATGAAGTTATACACAGAAATAATCTTGCTTCTGTTAATTAACCAAATAAATATTGCCGGGTGTGCAATTAGCGCCATCTTTTTTAAACCCTTTCTTCCTTTAGAATTTTAGAGTGTTCTCGTTATATAGTCCTACAAATA